TTTTTGCACATTATCTTTTCCGTGAGAATTTATCGTAATGGATACGGATCTGAATAAGCGACTGGAACACGGCTGTTTGTCAAAAGCATACGATTTCGAACTCGCGTAAATGTACATTTGCTAAATGCGATAGCATGAACGCTCTTCGAAAACATATGTTCGAAAGTGCTAAATGTTGCATTTTAAATGCAGCAAAAACGCTGCATTACAAAATGTACCCAAAAAGTGCGATTGTACCATCAATTTCATCAATGGATCAGGCTAGCATTAAATAAACACAATCAGCCTTATCCTGAGTTTCGACCGAAAGAAAATTCCCCCAAAATTTTTATTCCGCCCATAGTAAATACATGGAAACCAAAAGTGAAAACTGAACCAGTTCGGCGAAAATGAAACTCATGATGAGGCTGAATAATGGGCTGTTTTTGCTTACGCGTAAATGTACATTTAGCTCTAAATGTACTNGTTCGGTTATGGTTAAAACAATTCAGGTTTTTGTATTGAATTTTCGGTTTAGAATTTATTTTTCCTTTTCAGTAGGGGTTTTTGCACATTATCTTTTCCGTGAGAATTTATCGTAATGGATACGGATCTGAATAAGCGACTGGAACACGGCTGTTTGTCAAAAGCATACGATTTCGAACTCGCGTAAATGTACATTTGCTAAATGCGATAGCATGAACGCTCTTCGAAAACATATGTTCGAAAGTGCTAAATGTTGCATTTTAAATGCAGCAAAAACGCTGCATAATGCAATACAAAAATTACATTTGGTGAAAAACCCCTTTTAGCTAGAATCAGCTGTTCGCATGGCAGACGAAAACAAAATTGGCAACATGTGGGCAAATACATTTTAGGGCCATTTTCACAGTCATTAGCTAACTACTATGCTAATGTTTAACCACCATTTTTCATTTCACAGTATCAGTTTGACCAATGGTTGACTGCAGTTAACTAATGTACATACATCCATTATAGGGCATTCGCACGATTTCACAGCCAACAAAAGTTGAATACGAATTGAATGAGAAGTTGAAAGTGAAAAAGTTGCCATCCCTATTCAGACGAGGCGATTTTCGATTCAACACGAATCGTTATTTACATTATTGAAAATGAATTTAAATCGCAAAATTTTATCAATTGGCGTAAATTTGGTAAGCCAAGCGTTGGTAGAAGTGCTTTTAGCGAAGCTGAAAGATAAAATAAGAGTAAAAAAGTAAAAAAGAAAAAAAGTTTGTATACAGAACAGTGATGGCATTTTTGTACAATTGAACTTGTTTGATACGATTTCATTTACAATATAATTTCCTACTACGCAGTACTTTTTAGTACAATTTTGTAATGAATACTAAAAATATAGCTCTGAAAATTCACAGCAAGAAATTTTTTGTATTCTCTTTTGTTCGCCTGTTCGTATTTACCTTTGTAAGTTTTGAAAAATGGCTTGAACGAACCAGTATAATATAGCCTAGGCAAATTTTTAAAGAAACTTTTCGATACTAAGTTTTATTAAAACAAAATGTCGAAGTCAGCTTTATATAGAAACAAAGTCTTCGTTAGTTATAAGAAGAGATTTTCTTAAATATAATACCTTTACGGCACTCACATATTGACAAGATTTTACTATTTAGTTTATTATTCTTTAATTTTAATTATCTGTTTATAAAATATAATGTATTCTTTAAGAAAAACTGTATAAACCCAAGATTAAATCTTTGCGAAACATCCAAAACCCAACATACTTTCGTAAAAATTTCGAGCTTTATTACTATTCTTTAGTTTTTAGCCCATTCAATTTAAGTATAATAAGGTGCAAGTTTAAAGTAGCTGGGACTTACGGTTGAACTTGACAATTTTTTTTGTCGACGATGTCAGCTGTCAGAAAATTAGCAACACCTTCATCAAAGAAATCTTAAAAAACTTAGTTATATTAAAATTTAATGGGCTAAAAAGCCGCACACTCAAAATAAATCTAGGAAATCAAATTAAAAAGCTCGACATTTTTACGAAAGTGTGTTGGTTTTTTTTAATGTTGCACAAAGTTTGAACCTTGGGTTTGTACGGCTTTTCTTAAACTATAAACAGTATTTTTACAAAAAATAATTAAAATTGAATAATATTAAGATAAATGGTCAAATCTTCTCGTAAAGTTTTGATAAGCACTTGAAATGCTATTAATATGTCAAATTTTAGTACTAAATACAAAGGAAAATGTCTCTTTTATCCATTAATAATAACTTAAATATGCTTTTTGTTAAGATGTATACTTGAAAATGTGTACATACATATTTGCGTTAAATGCAGAACATGTGCACGTGGAATCAATTCGTAAAAGTGTAAAATACGTAAACGTATGCACATAAACAATAAAACTTTGTCATGAATACCATAAAATCATTGGCGCATATTCATAGTCATATTTAGTACTCAACTAAGTCGAAACTATTCTAAGTCACAACTAAAGCTATTCAGACGCCTTAGTTTCGACTTTTCTGGCTAAGTACCAACTTAAAATTTTGTTTCGGCTGCAGCTGCAACTAAGTCGTAACTAGGAAAAAGTATTATATCAAATTAAGGGAAACAGACGAAATATGTAAAAATTAAGTTGGTAGAGGGTGATTTTGATAATATTGAATAATCTCCAATTAAAATTTACAAAGATCGATCCATTTTAATCGGAAGATGAAATTAAATGCGTATTACAATTCGAATAAAGCTACATCACAATTTTATAATTGGAATAATTTAGATAAATTTTCAAATAATAAGTCAGTTTCACGCTAGATATCTACTATTTGTTGTTTCACAGCATGCTTTCGATAAACATCGACTTCACATCACTGCGGTTGTTCTGGCTATTTCACACAATTAACAAGAAAATGATACCTTATTCTTTTGCATAATCATGCAATGAAAATAAAAATTACATAAACGGATGATCAAACTTGGTATTATTTAATAAAAATGTAATTTTTCCAAAATATTGTAAAGAAAAATCGATACATTTTCACACTCCTTTTGCTATATCGTAAACTAAGTCGAAACTACTTAGTAGAAGTCTGAAATGCGACTATGAATAGAGGTAAATTTTAAGTTGGTACTTAAATTTAAGTTGCAACTTTATTAGTTTCGACTTAGTTGCTGGACTATGAATACGCGCCATTGGTCTTGAAGGGAATGTACTAAGAAAATATATGAGCGAATTAAGAAGTATATACAATTTATAGCCGAAAAGTACATTTTTTGTATAGATTTCGTATTGAAGGAACAATTTCATTTCCCAACACTGATACAGAATATAAACAAACACAGGGTTGCAGGAAAAAAAGTTGAACGAGCTCAATGTTGGCTGGCGACCAACTTTGTTGAAAGCGATTAGTTGAAAGGCCGTTCGGACGAGGCGATTTTGGCTTTCAACTAAAAGTTGCCTGAAAAATCGCCGCATGCGAAAGCCCTATTACTTACCCAATAGTTTAACAGCTGTTTTTCTAGTAGTCAACTAATGACTGGGAAAATGGCCCATAGTTGTCAAATTCTGCCGCAACAGCTGTCAAATTGAAATACGGTCGGTTTCACTTTGCTGCCATTTTATATGAACTCGCGTGGTCATATACGACAACAAAAAAATGACACCATATGACAGCCCAACAATCCGGACGGGATCCGGTAATTAGAGAATAAGCGAAAAGTTTGCTCTCAAAAATGGAACAGAGTCCACAAGCATAGGAACACAAAAAACCCTATTTCGTCCCCAAAATTTGAGAAACAGCTGATTCGCGTTGGTTTTGTTTTAGTCACTTGAATGCAAATACTTGGAAATTGAGTTTTGGTAAAAAAAAAAATTATTTTAAACATATAAAGATTTAAAATACATCAACAGGCCATTCACTATTCCTTAAAAGCACCAAATAAATGCAGGTAACATGTAAACACAAAACCCCTCATATGCACTTTGACACTTTGTCCATTATTACCCAGAGAAAAAGGCCGGGCTGTTTCAGGCAGGAAGAAGACACTTACGATCCAATACGTTCAAATTTTCGCTCTCTATTACCCATTTTGTTAATTACGGGATTGATATCTGGGCTGTTTATGGCATCCGCGGGATCTCGCGTTGCCTACGGGATCCGGACCGGATCCGGTAATTAGAGAATAAGCGAAAAGTTTGCTCTCAAAAATGGAAGATAATCCAGAAGTACGGGAACGCAAAAAACCACATTTCGTGCCCAGAATATGAGAAACAGCTGATTCGTGTTGGTTTTGTTTTAGTCATTAAATGCAAACTATTGGAAATTGAATTTCTGTTTCACAAATTTGGTTTTAAGTATATGAAGATTGAAAATACATTCACTATTACGTAAAAGCACCAAGTAAATGCAGGTAACATTTAAACACAAAACAGCTGATATGCACTTTGACACTTTATCCATTTTTACCCGGAGAAAAAATCCGAGCTGTTTCGGGCAGGTAGAGAAGACACTTACGATCCAATACTTTCCATTTTTCCCTCTCTATTACCCATTTAAAGTGTGTTTGCATTGTTCAACTTTGCGTTCAACATTTGCGTTCAACTCAGCGCAGGGTTGCACGAAAAAAAGTTGAATGGCTAAAAATATCAAAATATGAAAAAATATCAAAATATTCGCCATAAAAATATGTTTGCATTGTTCAACTTTGCATTCAACTTTTGGTTGAATGGCCTTTCAACCAATCGCTTTCAACAAAGTTGGTCACCAGCCAACATTTAGGGCCGTTTGCACCATGTCTAGTTAATTCTAATTCCAAGTTAAACATCTTTATCGACGTTATCGACACCCATCATATAACATGTGATCGATAAAGCAGTTAACGTGCTTAACTAAAGGATGTACCTCCAGTTAGCGTTAACTAGACATGGTGGAAACGGCCCTTAGCCATTAAACTTTTTTTTCGTGCAACCCTGCGTTGAGTTGAACGCAATTGTTGAACGCAAAGTTGAATAAGGCAAACACTGCTCTAATTGAGTACGGTAATGATTTCTGGGATATTTTGGGCTCCCGCGTTGCTTACGGGAAAGAACCTAATGAAAACCAACGTACACATACCGTAATCCCAAGCAATTAATGGCATACTATTTTAAGTTCATACTAAAACAATTTCTTAATTTACAACTTCGTCGGTAATAGTAGTAAAACGTAAACACAACCCAGAAATTCTGCTTCGGCTTCTTCGTTTTTTGAATTCGTTCGTTCGTCTAGCTTACGGAGAGTACACGTCGCTGTGAGATTTATTACATCAAAAAACCGAAACGTTAAAATTCCCCTGAATATAAAGAAGTATGCATATATTCTTAATAAAGTTGATGCACTTAATTTATGCGGATAGTAAGGAGTTTTAAACAAAATTCTGTATTTTTCTTGCCATTTTTTGTTTGTGCGTATGTGCAACGTGCTAAATTTCGCGTTTGTCCCGTTGACTGCCAACACTGTACATATTAAATAAGCTAGACTGGCTGGGTAAGATAAAGTGCCAACGATAAGTTCAGAACTTTAAAAATAAAAGACAGACCAGAGGCTGTTTTCGTGTTTTTGCATTGAGGTTGTTGAGTCTAGCTTTATTTATCCTTTACTGGATTTTTGCAAAGAATTTACTTTGAAAAATAGGGCGTTCTTGCTGGAGGGTTTTCAATCAAACGTATCAGCGAGATGGATTTTGGAACGAGTTGAATAAGTGAAGTGAAAAATTTCTGCGTATGCAATGATATCTATTAGTTTAATGAATTATATATACCTATATATGTGTGTGTTGCTATTAACGAAGGCGTCGAAATTAAAAACAGGAAATATTAAGAAGTTAAATGCAACTGTACATAATGGAAACTCAAAAATAGTATTGATAAAACTTAGGTGAAAGGATGAAGAAAGCAGCAATATTTTTAAAAAGAACTATGAAAACATGGTAAGGTAAAACCGTTCTCTCAATTCGTCTTCCATGATTTTTTATGAAGGTTGCCAGCATTTTAAAATCACAATTGAAAAAAAAAAATTAATTGGTCCAAATAGTTGATTGAGATTGTAAGTGAAAATGTAATTGTTAGTAAATTTTAAAACTTGTTTGCAGGCGGCAAAAATGATAAAAGCGTCTCCAAGCGGTTCTACCTTATTATATTTTGAGTTGGCTTTCCATTACATCGGTTTTTAGGTGTTTTCACAAACTTGGCGTCGATGTTAAGAATCGTATATATTTACATTATTTATCACTCTTCACTTTATTAGTAATAGTATTTAACTAATTTGTTCGTAAATTCTTTGCAGTTTCACTTGCAAAGTTTCGTTTAAAAAAGAGGGTAATTCTTTAGTATATTGTAACAACCGCTAAAAAAGGTCCGGAAAAGTATATAACTGTTTAAAAAAGAGGGTAATTCTTTAGTACATTGTAATAGCCGCTAAAAAAGGTCCGGAAAAGTATATAAAAGTATATTATATTGCATATTAACAATCGGAGGGGGAGGGCTAATATTATTAACCATTTAAAACATAAACAAACAACTTTTGTTAAATTTCGTTGTTTTGTATGGGCAATTACCCCGACAAAAACCCACTAAATAACCAGTTTCCACTTTTAAAACATTATGAAAACGTCTCCGGTTATTGTTTTATGCAAACAAATTCATTTATTCACTTTTATTTTATATATTTCTTTAATAAAACAGAGTAAACAAACTTTGCGCCTGCGATGGTGAATATGTGCGAAATTTCAACAAACTAAAACGAAAGGACGTTCCCACGACAGTCGGGTCTACGTAACCGGAACGACCCAGATTTATATCTGGCCAAGGACTGTCACTCCAGCAACACCCCAAAAAATTTTTGGGGAATTTGTATGCTGCTACAACAACAACAACAACAACAACAACAAAGGATTTTCAACAATCCACCTTTGTTTCATAATGATCCCGATAGCAGTAGGGAGTATAATGTGTTTTTAATGTATGTTAAACAAAGAGCTCCGCATAAAAATATTGCGGAAGGCTTAACCGATTTTGGAGTGCTAATGATTATTTATTTTTTCTCGGCGGGTTTTTAATCTACGATGAAAGGTGTTCTCTGCAAACATATATGTAATACTTCTATATTGGCAGTAAGCTAACTTCTCAATGTGTAAGTATTCCGAAATCAAAGCGAGACAGTCTAGTACCATTTTTGTCAATGTATTGTGTACTTGAGTGCCGTTTCTGTATATGTGTTGTGTACATGTTTATTTATAAACGTATCTGTTCCTTTTCTTTCGTACGTGTTTATTGATATATCCGTACTGTAGTGTTTTCGGACGGTACTAGCTCTTACTGCCAATATAGGAGTATTACATATATGTCTGCAAAAGCCGTTCAGCCCTTTTTCTTCGCAAAACAGAAAGGGGATTCTATTTTGTGAGGGTTATAATGTTGTTGTTGTTGTAGCGGCTACAACAACCCCGCCCAGATCGGGTGGTATCTCAGTCGTTGTCGTCAAGTTCCACTAACGGCAACCCTAGGAAGCGTGCAGCTTCTGTGGGATTTGTCCACAGGGACAAGGCCGTTAGGGTTGTCGGGTTTTCCGGGCATGCGAAGAGATATTTNATATATAAATGAGACGCATACATATTTGTTGAGAGAGAATAACAGCTTCAGACTCCCGAAGTATAGAACAGAAGTGGACAAAAAAAATATTTTCTATAAAGGCTTAAAGTGCTTCAATGAATTACCAGAGGCTATAAAAAATTGTGATACTATCACTCTTTTCAAGCGGCTGCTATTTGACTATTGTAGAACGCAGCCTACAAGATAGTGATGTATCAACAATAGCGTGGATTGGAAACTAGGCCTTTCCAACCACCAAGATATCGAGACTAGGCGGATCGGAAACTCGGCCTTTCCGACTACCTAGACCCTTAGATAATAAACAATAAACGAGCGGATTGGAAACTAGGCCTTTCCAACCGTCAACCGTCACGAAAGCGCGACTGGGTGGATCGGAAACTCGGCCTTTCTGACCACCCAGGAGATATCAATAAATGGAGTAACCCAAAAAGAATAGCGCGGATTAATGGAGTAACCCAAAAAGAATAGCGCGGATTGGAAACTCGGCCTTTCCAACCGCCTACATAACTTCCAGGAAATTGCATGCGTTTATATTGACAAAAAATAATTGCAGTGATAAAGAAATAATGTTGTTTAAAAATTTCTGTAGAGCATTTTGTATTTTGTATTTAATATTTAATATTTACATTTTAAATTTAAATCTAATTATAAGAATGTTAAATCTTTGATGCAATATAAGTCTAATAGACTGTAAAAAATAAATAAATAAAATAAAATAAATAAAAAAGGGTCGCGGAGGATTTCGTAGGGGAGAGGGCTAGACACTTTGCAGTGATGTCTATTTTGGTTACTGGGTGTTTTATAACAATATCTTGTATATAAAAATGTATATACAAATTTATAACCAAAATTTGCAACAAATACCATATTTCCAACCAACATTATTGTTAAATTAGTGCACAGATTTAGTAAATTAAATTCTTGTAATAAAGCGTGAACGCGATTCACGCGTTTGGGCACAGCAACCCAAAATCGTTGTACAAATTCATAAACAGTACCCGAATTCTACTTAGTGAGGGTTATAATCCCCAAGTGCGGATTCGCCTGCGGTGCTTTTTTCAAAAAAATTAATACTTCGATAAATAATACAAATTTTTATAAAAATCACGCGATTTTTTATTAAAAATTCTCGTTTGCGGCGCTTTTTAAAAAAAAAAACATTACTTCGATAAATAAATAAAATAAAATAAAATATAAATTCGATAAGTAATGAAAATTGTTATTAAAATCAATACTTCGCCTGCGTCGCTCCCTTTATCACCCGTATGCTTTAATCCAAAAGTTCGTGGTTACGAATTCGTATCTCCGTTCCGAAAATTCGAAAATTGGTATGCTGTAATCCGTTCATAACTATCAACGGCGTTGCCAACTAAAATAGTGAAATTTGAAGTCCTTAATCAGCTGCTTTGACAGAAACAAAGCAAAATAAATATAATCGCAAGTGAAAAGTGAAGTTAAAAAAAATTAGTTTGATCCTTATTTAAAAGTTTTTTCCTTAATTAAGTAGGATTCAGCGGCCGGTGCACTTTTTTTCCCAGGAGGAAGAACAGCTAACAAGTGCATTAATATACAAAGCAGATTGCTATGAAATTGCTCGGGTCCATTTAGCTAAAATGATAAAATGTAAGCTCCCTCCTTTTAAGGGCCTCCATTTCACTAGATATTGTGCGCTTTAACTCTTGGAACGCTTTCCCAAAATTCCACCACATCCTCTTTAGCTCCTTGTACAAAGCCCCGACCAATGTCCAGCCTCTTGCTCATGCGTGTTTGTTGTGATCTTCGATCTGTTAATGTTGTAAACATTTAATAATATTTTATTTTCTATTCACACTTCTGGAGCGCATTACAGCTAACCGTGCACTGATGCCCTCCTCCACACCGACCACTATGTGAGCAAAGCCCTATCAGCACGCATCCATTCTATCGGTGGACTTTGAAAAGGCATTCGACCGCATCGGCTCACACGAATTAAAAAAAATTAGTTTGATCATTATTTGAAAAGTTTTTTCCTTAATTAAGTAGGATTCAGCGGCCGGTGCACTTTTTTCCCAGGAGGAAGAACAGCTAACAAGTGCATTAATATACAAAGCAAATTGCTATGAAATTGCTCGGATCCATTTAGCTAAAATGATAAAATGTAAGCTCCCTCCTTTTAAGAGCCTCCATTTCACTAGATATTGTGCGCTTTAACTCTTGGAACGCTTTCCCAAAATTCTACCACATCCTCTTTAGCTCCTTTTACAAAGCCCCGACCAATGTCCAGCCTTTTGCTCATGCGTGTTTGTTGTGATCTTCGATCTGTTAATGTTGTAAACATTAATAATATTTTTTTTTCTATTCACACTTCTGGAGCGCATTACAGCTAACCGTGCACTGATGCCCTCCTCCACACCGACCACTATGTGAGCAAAGCCCTATCAGCACGCATCCATTCTATCGGTGGACTTTGAAAAGGCATTCGACCGCATCGGCTCACACGTTGTTCTGAAATGCCTCCACTCCTGGGGTGTAGGGCCAAAAATTTTCAGTTTTGTCAAAGCGTTTTTGTCGAACAGGCGTTTCAAAGTTAGAATCGGTAATTCCTTCTCCAATATATATCCTCTAAACAATGGACTTACCATATACCAAGGAAAATTATCTAACAATAAACCCGCCTAGGGCCATTAAGAAAGCATCCTGCGACATGACGCTGTCTGCGTTCAGTCACACTCCCGCAACGGTATTCCGTCAAAAGTTTCAAGAACGGAGAACGTTTTACGAAGCAGACGATTGGGTACTCTGGTTTACAGATGGATCCAAAACCTTGGATACGCCCGGCAGCTATGCTGTCGTTGACACAAACGGGCTTATATTAAGAATGCAAACGCTCTCACATATTTCGTCATCATTTACAGCAGAAGCTATTGCTATAAGTAACGCGATCTCCATGGCGTTGGAAACAGCCTTTAAAGTGATTATCTGCTGCGGCAGCCTATCGGCCCTTAAAGCAGTCCAAAATCCAACTTCGAACTCAAGGACAGTGAACATAATTAGAGACATGCTTATCGAAAACGAACAGAATATAAGATTATTTTGGATGCCTGGACATATAAGTATCCATGGTAACGAGGCAGCAGACTTCGCTGCAAAGTCAGAATGTACAGCCCCTGTAACGACAGACAATACAGTAGAAAAGATAGATACACGAAGATTTATCCTACGTCACTTACGGCATAAAAGTACGCAGAAATGGCACAACTACAGCCATCATCACTACACTAACATAAACCGTGAACTTAAAACCCCAATTTATCCTACAACAATTTCTAAAGTGCACATTCAAATGTTCTCGCGTCTCCGCCTTTGCACCCACGAACACCTTCTATTGGGTAACCCAACACCATCCTGCCCACGCTGCCAAAACTTTACTTTACTTTACTAACTTTAAAACACATATTCTTCGAGTGCACTTCTCTTGAAGGAACTAGACGCCGGTACTTCAAACACAACTGGGTCGAACTACTTAGTAATCCCCCAAAGGACAACATAAATTCCATCGTCAGTTTTATCAAAGCCATCCAAGTACCTATATAACAGCCGTCTCTGTAAAATTCTCTCATATATTTTCTTTTTTCTTTTTCTAAAACTCTGTTACAGTTAAGTAGAGCTGACAGCCTTGGCAGCTAATACTCAACATTTCTATTAACTTGTTAATTTATTTAATATTGTTAATAAATAATAATAATAATAATATTCACACTTCAACTTACATACATATTTTAGCCTTTACACACTTTACTTTCTTGATATTTTAAAACAATTTGTTTCGCTCCGACACAAGTTTCTATTCGTACAAAATTTCCGAGAAATACATAAAATGACAGCTACGTCGGATTCAGGCATACCAACATTACGAATTTTGAAGATAGGCTGCGAATTACGAAATTACGATACGACAACGCGGATTTCAGCATACCAATTTTGCGATTCGTAACAAAAACGAGTCTACGACGGATTACAGCATAGGGTGATAGTATTAAACACACCTATGCTGTAATCCGTCGTAGATACGATTTTACTGATAGTTACGATCGGATTACAGCATACCAATTTTCGAATTTTCGGAACTGAGCTACGAATTCGTAACTACGAACACTCGGATTACAGCATAGAGATTAAAGTTTTTTTTTTTACTTGAGAAATCAACGACACCGTATATTAGACAAAGCAACACAAACATATACGCCAAAAACTCTTGACACCAGTTAAAATTGTTTCAGCTTGCATTAATAGGTATTTTTACTTGAATGTAACTTAGGGATGAAGTAATATCGTTTAATAATTTCGTGCGAGAAGCCATTTGCAACTCGGCGTAAATGCTTCAATATAAACAATGAAAGGAATATGTTGCCACATGGGCCAAGCAATATAAAAAATGTAAATATAATAAATAATAATAATAATAATAATAATAAATAATAAACCTTTTGCAGAGAACACCTTTCTGCGTAGGCGGCCTTCGGCCGCGCTTAGGGATTATAACCTTCACTACGCAGAATTCGCCTTTCTGTGTTACCAAAACAAAAGCAGTAAATGCTTCTGTAGTATACGACGAGGCACCCTGTAATGACAATATCTGAAGCAACCCTAAAAGAAAACAGGATATGACGTTGACAGGTGCGCACGTGCATCAGACGAGACTAAGCGACAAAAGAATAAAGAGCGCAATTTTCACACTGCATATTTCTCGTGTTTTATTATATTTAATCTTCAGTCGAAAACGTAACATTTTGGCGACGAGGATAAAAGATGGCGTTGAATGAAAGTATGATGGCAAACGTAAACCTGATGGGCGCACAATCTTTCGGCAAGCTGGAACCGTTCCAACCAACCATGGCGTGGAATAACTATAAAGAACGAATGGAGTTTTACTTCGAAGCCAATGGAATAGCTAACGATACGTCGATGAGGGCGATTTTCTTATCATGCGTCGGGGAAGCAACTTACGAAATAATCCGCCATTAACTCCAAAAGACGTATCGTCTCATGAAATCGTTGAAAAACTCGACAAACACTTTCATCCAAAACCAAATGAGATTGTGCAGCGGTTTGCGTTCCATAAGCGGCACCAGAATAGTGGGGAGACAATAGCTGATTTCGTAAAAGACTTGCGTAAACTGTCGGAACATTGTGGCTTCATGGAACTGGATAATATGTTGCGGGATCAAATTGTATGCGGAGTGGCAGATGAAGCGCTGCAAAAACGTCTTTTTAGCGAACCAAGATTAGACTTTAAACGTGCGTACGAGATAGCAATCGCCCATGAAGCGGCTTACCGCAATGTAAGGGACGTGCGCGGCAATGGTAATGACGTTTTGGCGGTGTCAATGAAGAATAAACCCAGGAAAGTAGAAAAGTTGGAGTGTTTCCGTTGAGAGGGCAGCCATTTTGCAAACAAGTGTCATTTTAAAGATAAGAAATGCAAATTTTGTCAGATAAAAGGACACTCTATGAAAGCGTATTTTAAAAAGAGAGCACATGACCGCAAGAGACTTGCAGTCCACGCATTAGATGGAGGGGCGGAGGACACAGGGCCAGCGGCAGAAGAAAATAATTACTTTTATGAACTCAATACAGTTCAAGCCACGTCCACAAAAAAGATTCTAACGGGGATGTACCTCAACGGTGTGTTAGAATCATTTGAAGTAGACTCCGGTGCGGCGTTTACGGTTATCTCGGAGACAACGTGGAACCGCATAAACCTGGGTAATCGCGACCTCAGGCCATCCAATATCATGCTGCAAACGTGGTCGAAAGAAAAACTCAATGTTTTGGGATCAGCTCGGGTGAATGTCGAATACAATAAGCAAAAGTACGTATTATCCGTTTTGGTCATTGCAGGTGGCGGCAGGTGTTTGCTGGGTAGAGATTGGTTTGACGCGTTAGGGATTACGGTGCACGGAGTATTGACAGTAGATGTTCCAACGGATCTCACCATGTTAGAGAAGAAATATAACTCGGTGTTCAACGAACATTTGGGCGCGCATAATGGCCCTGCCATATCGTTAGAAATCGTACAAGGAGCTCAGCCGATTTTTCGTAAATACAGGCCGTGTCCTATCGCTTGGAAACCAGCCGTAGAAAGAGAAATTGAAAAGTTAGTGGCGCAGAAAGTGTTGGAGCCAACGCTTTTTTCACACTGGGCAACGCCAATTGTACCAGTCATTAAAAAAGATGGTACTATGAGGATTTGTGGGGACTATCGCAGTACTGTAAACGCCGTGATTAAGCCAAATACATATCCATTACCACTTTTTTCTGAGGTAAAGGCGGAAATCGCGGGCGCGAAATTATTTACGAAATTGGACCTGCAGCAGGCCTACCAGCAGCTAGACGTAGATGACTTTGCATCACCCGGACTTTTCCAAAAATACATGGATAATCTCCTAGCCGGAGTGAAAGGTGTCAAGGCATACCTCGACGATATTATTATTTCCGGAAAAGATGAGAATGATCATTTTCGTAATTTAGAGGTAGTACTCAAGAAGCTAGAAGGAGCCAATTTAACTGTGAATAAGGCAAATTGCTCATTTGCTCGACAAAAAATTGATTTCCTGGGATATAATATTAGCCATAAAGGAATTTCGCCAAATGAAGAAAAGGTAAGAGCAATAAAACAAGCACCGACGCCCAAAAATAAGGAAATGTTGCAATCCTTTTTGGGTCTCCTGAATTTTTATAACGCCTTCCTACCTATGAAATCGAGCCTGGCAGAAAATCTGCACCGCTTATTGGATAAGGACTCTAAATGGTCTTGGACTAAGGAGCAGCAAAGAAGTTTCGAAAAACTAAAGGCGCTTATAAATTCGGATTCCCTATTAGTACATTATGACGTAACGAAGCCGTTAGTTCTGTCATGTGATGCTTCACCCTATGGTTTAGGGGCGGTTTTAGTCCATCGGTCGGAAGGAATAGAACGACCAATCGCCTTCGCTTCGCGGACTCTGGGAGTGCATGAGCGAAACTACGCGCAGATAGACAGAGAAGCACTGGCCATAATATTTGGGGTAAAACATTTCCACCAGTATATCGCGGGCAGAGAGGTTATTATCGTTACGGACCATAAGCCATTATTGGGCATTTTCAACAGAAAGAAACAAATTCCACAAATGCTTTCACCCCGAATGCTACGTTGGTGTCTGTTGTTGGCTGCATATGACTATCAGTTGGAGTACAGACCAGGGCAGAAGCATGCTAACGCTGACTGCCTTAGCCGGTTACCGTTGAGTGCAAACATAGACGCGGACATGTCAGGTCCTGCTGATGTGCTCATGTTGGAATTGCGGAATAATACACCAATAAAAGCGGAACAAATCGCTGAAGCGACTTCAAGGGATCCAATAATGTCACGAGTTTTGCGATGGCTACTGCACGGTTGGCCACAAGAAGGAGACATATCTGAAGACGTACGTCCTTTTATTCGTAGACGGTCCGAGCTATCAACCCATAAGGGATGTTTGTTGTGGGGCAGTAGAGTGATCATACCCCCTAAATATCGAAATCAGATATTAGAACTGTTGCACGGACATCATCCAGGTATATGTGCGATGAAAGCCTACGCTCGAAGTTACGTGTGGTGGCCCGAGCTTGACAAACAAATAGAAATGAAAGTTGCACAATGTGAACAACGTCAGATTATCGGTGAAAACCCTCCGGCAGCTCCGAGGCAACACATCCCTAGTACAGATCAACCCTGGGAAACGCTGCATATCGACTTTGCTGGACCCTTTCAGGGAAACACATTTCTGGTAGTAGTAGATGCAATGTCCAAATGGCTCGAAGTCAAAATCGTAAGTAACATGTCGTCCATGGAAGTAAAACACAAGCTGCGGGAAATTATAGCAACGCACGGCTTACCGAAACGAATCATTTCGGACAACGGCACGGCATTTAGCTCTGCCGAATTGCGAGATTTTTACTCGGAAAACGGTATTAAATTCCATACTTCGGCTCCATATCACCCATCCAGTAATGGCCAGGCAGAACGAATGGTTCAATATTTAAAAAAATCTTTGAATTTAATAACCCACGGTGATATTTCAACGCGTTTGCAAAGAGTCTTACTAAAACAGCACAGTACCCCTCATACCACAACTGGCAAAACTCCGGCTGAACTATTAATGGGACGACGAATTCGAACGTTGCTGGATCTGCTGCACCCTGATGATCATAAGTTGGAACAGCGCCCGTATGTGGCCTCTGGTCGGGTAAGACTGTTCGATGTTGGAGATCCCGTTTATTTCCGTAATTACGCTGCGGGCCCATTGTGGCTAGCAGGAAAAGTTATAGAAGTCACGGGACCAGTCTCGTATGTAGTACAATCTACTGATATGCGAATCGGGCGACGACATGTCGACCAAATTAAACGCCGCGTGGTAGCCCCTACTGAGCCGTTGTTGCCACATGAAGAAAAGAGGCACGACTCTCGAGACGCAGATATCCCTGTAAACTGCTCACAGCCGCCATCGACACCGTTACCATCTCTACCAGCCCAAGCTTCAATTGAGGCAAGCAATTCCTGCTCGCCACTACCAGAGACCAAAGAAGCCCACTCATCGATCCCCAATCTTGAATCAAAGACGTCACCACAGCAGAGCAGCAAGGCAAATACAGTTACGCGATCGGGCCGCCATGTGAGACCACCACGACGTTTTGAACCATGCTAAATGGGAAGGAGTGTAGTATACGACGAGGCACCCTGTAATGACAATATCTGAAGCAACCCTAAAAGAAAACAGGATATGACGTTGACAGGTGCGCACGTGCATCAGACGAGACTAAGCGACAAAAGAATAAAGAGAGAGAAATTTTCACACTGCATATTTCTCGTGTTTTATTATATTTAATCTTCAGTCGAAAACGTAACAGCTTCTAAGAAGAATTCGAAAAGCTGCCCGCCTGTTGTTCAAAATACTTTTACTGCGCCTGATAACGGCGACGCTAATGCTAATGGTGCTGGGTTTTTAAATTCATGCGATCCTGTTCCTACGTTTGGTTTGCTCACATCGCAGCTGCCTTCAAACGCTGTTACACAGCATTCTACGGATGTTGCTGAAATATATGGGTGGAAAGCGGTACGCATCAAGAAATCAAATATATATAAAAATATTGTTGTGGGCAGTAATACTAAATGCGACCTCGACGTTGTAATTAAAAAGAAATGGTTACACATCTCTTCGTTCAAACCATCCGTGACTGAAGATAAAATAATTTCATATGTTGCTAATCAGTCAGGCGTTGACAGTCAACACCTGGCTTGCTACAAGCTGGTGAAAAAAGGTGATTCTGGCCGACTAAGATAATCGTCAGACCGTTCCGGTTTTTTCAAAAACTGGATGGTGTTCTTATAGCGGCTAAACGGAGATTCAAAGTGTCACCAGTAACGCTCGCCAATTCTGACTCGCTCCTTGATCAGCTTTGCGTCTGTGTTCACGGTTCCTCCGGCCATATTCTTTACATATGTGCGTCATACATCTCGCCGAACAGTTCTGAAAGCCTTTACGTTGCACATGCTGATAACATCGTATCATTGGCGTCTGATGTCGTTGGTATAATCACATTTGTGTTGTCGATTTCAACTGTAGCCGGTTGAATTGGATTTCAAGTGGTCATTCTGCCGCTCTTACAGTTCAAACGTGAATTTATGTCGTTGATAGCTTTTTAAGTATTGGTTTACAGCAAATTCACAGTATTTTTAACCAACTAAATGGACTATTGGATCTTGTATTTATCAGAATGTATGTCTTCCATCTCTCCGACTGTAATGCATCATGCCCCTCTCACTCTTGAGTTGGAGTTTTATAACTTTGATTCATTGCCGGATGATACAGTATTAAGTTTAACTATAAAGCGAGTGATTTTTCTTCCTTAAATGGTGCCCTATCAAATATAGATTGCACTTGTAGGATTAAAATATGTTATATATGGGCAAATCTAAAAAATAGGTACACTTTCAAACAAAAAATTTTAATTTTTAAATTTGTGAGCACACCTATGTTTTATATATCATTTTATTCGTAATCTCTTAATAAATCTATTAATATAAGTGTAATTCATATTCATCAAGTGCTTCAAAAGTTAGACGAGGAATAAGCATGAAATAGAAAACAAAAGAATAAGCTGGGTTGAAATTACGCTGTTCAAGTTGTAAACTTTGAGGAAAGATTTTGAAAGTTGAACTCACTTAATTGGGATGTTCTAAATTCAATGGCATGCCCTGTTTTACCAGATTGGCTCCGGTTTTCGAGATAACGGTACTTGAACATTTGTTTAAATTTTAACTATTTTATAAATAACCCTCAATTTTGAAGTTAATTTACTAAAATTTTGCACATAACAGTTTTTTAATATTACCTTAATTATTCCTTAAAATTATCGAAATAGGTTAACATTAACATATAGCTCCAATACAACTGATTACTCAGATATGTGTTTTTGCGCAATAACTCTAACTTCATATCTGAATAATAAATTGTATGCGTGCTATATGTTAAATTGAACCTATACTAAATTTTAACCTGTTTAATTGAAGGAGTTATAACGCAAAACAACGTCTCAGATCAATCAGTTGTATGGGAGCTATATGTTTTAGTGAACCGATTTCGATGATTTTATGGAATAGTTAAGGTAATATTAAAAAACGGTTATGTGCAAAATTTTAGTAAAATATCTTCAAAACCCAGGGACTTCTTTATAAAATAGTTAAAATTAAGGAAAGTTTTAAGTACCGCTATCTCGAAAAATGGAGCCAATAGGGTAAAACTTAGGACGTCATTGAATTCAGAAGGCTCCAATTAAGTAAGAGCAACTATCAGAACATTTGTCGAAAAAAAGTTGCTTTGATACCACTCTCGAAATATTCTGACTAAAAGAAGTAGCATCATTAAGAGTAGTAAATCAGGGTTTTTACACACTTCTAGAGATAAATTTTTTGAAGCATTTTACAGGTATATGTAATTTTATAAGGACTAGCAGTTATAGAAAGATTTAGATCGTTTCGACGTGTTTTCCAAATGTGGCTTTAATTAAAGTGTTTTTGGAATAAAAATTACGCTCAAGATCGCAGAATATTTTATCTTTAAAAGTTGGTTTATTCTGAAAGCACAGCTCTTGCTCAGGTATGAAATTATTCGTAATTGTTTGTAGTATACAATACATACTTAAAAAGTTCTTAAACTTAAATGCTTCAAAAACTATACGCGATAAACCGAAAATTTTGAAAATTGTGGAATGTGGAATTACAGACTTTGAGCTACTTGCCATTTCGTTATTTTTTAATGCACCCTTTTCTTACCTACTACATTTGTAGTGTACACATAAGTACTAATTGCACATACTATTTCAAATCAGTATATGGTGTGCTTCAAAAGTTATGGCATAATTAATTTTTCATCTCTTAAAAATTACATAAAAAATTCACTTGTTTTCATTATTATTTTTTATTTAAACACCTATAATTCAAAACTTATGCGGCAAATTGATCCACATTTTTTTTGAGGCTTCAAGTATACGTCAATGAATTATATGCAAAAGCAACCAGCTTGATATAGTTTCCAACAGTGAAAATAAAGCTAAAAAACGCCAAGGTTACCTGTTTTTTAGATTTGCCCATATGCATATGCTTATTAAATTTACTTGTTTTGTGGATACCTTTAATTTTAAATTTATTTTATTTTGTTGTTAATAATTTGTAATGGAAATAATGTTGTTCAAAAATTTTCATTATTCAAAAAGCTTTCTAAAAGAACTAGCATAAAATATACAGAGCTCAATTTTAATTATTTTAAAATTTACTACAACTATAATTGGCGATCCTGCCTTAATTTGACGAGGTCATACCTTTAGCCAAGGCAACTAATATTAGATCCGCATCAAGAAATATAGCAATCACTGGAGTTTACATTTGTTTTGAATTTGACAAAAGTACAACTTAAATCTTAAGCCGCTAATTGACCAGTTTGAGCAACTAAACTAAATCAACGCACTTCTAAATATCTGGGAGCGTTTGTACAATATATATAATATCAATACATACAAGAGCAGGCAAGCAGGAATAGCATAACAACAGCAGCATCAAAGACAACAACTACAACATTCCCAAGACAGCTGTTCTACGTACCGGAATGACTCGGGTTTTACCCGACCAAGGGCTGTTGTTTCGGCGATGTAACCCCGTTTAGGTCGGCGAAGTATCTCAGAAGTTGTCCGTCCATAGGGCTACATTCACTACGTATTCTTCTACTCAGCGCTGGCATCGAGTCAAACCCAGGGCCAGAAACCTACACCTGCTGTGTATGCCGGAGACGATTACACCACAACTCCACCTCAGTCAAGTGTAATGCCTGCGAGGGGTGGAGTCACCTCAGAGTCTGCTCAGGACTACGGACACATAGACAGTGGACCACGTCGTACGTGGCCCCCTGTTGCTCAAACAGAGCGGCCTCCACGGCTAACCACAGTCCGCCCGAGCAGCCTCACACAGTCACCACAACACAACAACATAATAACACCACAGACCATACCACAGCCACGACAGACCACATAACACACACAAACGCACCACCACCCACACGCCGCGCTAACAACTCCTGGTTCCCCCTACAATCTGCACGGTATGTCAGACCAGGACATTCCGTAATGTGACATCAGTCAAGTGCAACACCTGCCTTGGCTGGTGCCACTTTAGGGCATGCTCAGGTGTGCGTACCACGCGAGATTGGACTGGGAACTTCGAGGGTCCGTGTTGCGCTGCTCGGTCGCAGACCCCAGTTGCGACGCCCCCCGCCACCACCACAGGGCGGCAATCATCACAGCAGCGCACACAGCCAACGGCGGCAAGAACACACACATCACTTACACCCCACATCACGACACGTCTCCCGAACCACATGAAGCTCCTTCAATTTAACTGCAACGGGCTACAGAGCAAGATTGAGGAGATAACACTGGTAACACTGCAACGTTGTTGACGTGTTTGTAATCGCTCTGCGGAAAATTTTTAAAAAACAGCCGAATTGTTGGGATTTTAACCAGCGTTAGAGCCAGTGACTTAAATAGCGAAGTGCTAATAAACTGTGCTATTTGCAAGCACAAAAATTTGTTTCATTTTGATTAAACAAACAAATAAATATAGCTAGAGACATAAAAGTGCAGTGAGGTGACAAAAACAATAAGGCGCGAAAATGGATAAATGCCATAAGTGCAAGAATCCAATTCGCGGTGACAGCGGAATCCGCTGTGATGGTGTGTGTGGTAAAGTGTGGCACTGGGCAAAAAAATGCTCTGAATTGGATGAGTACAGTGCGAATGTACTCAAAGAAAACAACTTTGTGCGCTTTATGTGTAACCAATGTCACACATACATGCATAACATCGATGAGGTGCTCCGAAATATGAACTTAACAATAGAGAAAAATAGTCAAAAGATCCAAGAGTGTAATGATGACTTCCAGGAATCGCAAAAAATGCAAGTGAAAGAGCTTAAACTTCTCCTGCAATCAATAGAGAAAAAATTTGGGGAACGCATTGATGCAATGCA